GTCAGAGGAGGTAGTCAACCCAACCTGACAGAAGGATCCTTGTCGGCAGCCATAGGTTGCTTCGTCCAAGGGTACCTTGTAGACCTGGGGTGAGTGTTTGCCTAAGGGGACAAATTTGAATCAACCTTAGCTAACAGAGGGCTTTGTGCCCTATCGATCATATCCTATTGATTCATATCTCAATGATTTGATGCCAATAAGGAACGTATTAGCTCTGGCCATAACCGGTATTTCATGGTGCCAGTTGGCAGCAAAACCACTCAATTCAGATGGCCCCAAGTCATAACTGTTTATCCTGCGGTGCCATTTGGCGGCAAACCGCCGGTTAGAAGACACGTACCACATCTTTACTAGCAGGACATTGTTTGAGAATAGATCCTATAGATATTTTCGATTAGGCATTTGGCTCTTTGTGAGCTGAAGTAAATTTTGATTTGTCCACCCCAACAAACTGTTGCGGATGGTAAATGGATTTTGCTTTAAGTTATTGATGGTTGGATTTCAATTTTTAAATATTTTTGGATTTTTGGAATGATTTTTGGATTTGTTAGATTTTAGAGACATTTAGAATGACATTTGAAATTATTTGTGAACCCCTCCGATTGAGATCTTTGTTCAACATGGCCATCATCAGAGTGTTTAGGGTCATTTCCAATTAAAACTTAAACCTTGTCGACACTATCAACTTGCCAATAGGGGATCGAATTTTATAGGCTTTGTGCCTTTATTAGTGAATTCTCATTGTTATAGGCTTTGAAGGCTTAATATGAATGTATTAAGACAAATATATCAGTCATCACAACCGCATATTTGTTTGATAGTTCGAACCCTGTTGACTTCTATTGATCTGCATAGAAGGATCGGATTCAAACTTGAATTCACTTATAGACCCGTGCAGCATCCCTAGACGCCACGTGTGTACTTATAACACGCTCGTCGGGGCCCATGCGGGTGTTTGGAGGTATTTTATAATTAAACCATGTCGACTCCTTTTATCTATTTAGGAGGATCGGGTTCAAAAACTTGTTGATCCGCGCAGCATCCCTAGGCGTCACGCGTGTACTAATAACACACTCGCCGGGGCTCATGCAGGTTTTGATTACATTTACCCCTTTAATGTACCTATATGTATACAATTTATGGTACATGTGTAGGAGTATTTTGAAATATTTTAGTTGTGCAGGTAATTGCTGTTTGAATGCACACAATATTTCATTTGAGAGCTTATACACGCCTTCTGTCCGCTAGTACGAGTGTTGCGGATTCGGTGGCGGTGCGTTGTAGATTGTAGACGCCTTCTGTCTACTTGTATAACTGTTGCAGATCCAGTGGCATTATGGTCTTGATGTTATGAGGCATCTCCTCATCTTGATGTTGACTCCCCTTTCTCGTTCATCGGGAAAGTTCTTCTGAGTTTTGAAGTTCGCTGCTTTGAAAAGAACTCCTTTTGAGATCATCAGTGTAATAGACTTATTATTTCCGATGTTTGTGGACACCAGAACCATTTTCTTCCTAAGTGTAAGATCAAGAAATTTTGTAACACTAGGAAGTTTAGTTCGAATTTGCTCAAACATTTCCTCTATTCTGTCAGGGGTGTCTTTTTTTTATACATCGAGTTGCAGCATCCCTAGACACCACATGTGTACTTATAACACGCTCGCCGGGGCCCATGCGGGTGTTTTGGGGTATTTTATAATTAAACATTGTCGACTCCTTTTATCTACTTAGGAGGATCGGGTTCAAAAACTTGTTGATCCGCGCAGCATCCCTAGGCGTCACGGGTATACTAATAACACGGTCGCCGGGGCTCATGCAGGTTGTGATTACATTTACCCCTTTAATGTACTTATGTGTATACAATTTATGGTACATGTGTAGGGGTATTTTAAAATATTTTAATTGTGCAGGTAATTGCCGTTTGAATGCACACAACATTTCATTTGAGAGCTTATACACGCCTTCTGTCCGCTAGTACGAATGTTGCGGATTCAGTGGCGGTGCGTTGTAGATTGTAGACGCCTTCTGTCTACTTGTAAAAGTGTTGCAGATCCGGTGGCGTTATGGTCTTGATGTTATGAGGCATCTCCTCATCTTGATGTTGACTCCCCTTTCTCGTTCACCGGGAAAGTTTTACTGAGTTTTGAAGTTCGCTGCTTTGAAAAGAACTCCTTTTGAGATCATCAGTGTAATAAACTTGTTATTTCTGATGTTTGTGGACACCATAACCATTTTCTTCCTGAGTGTAAGATCAAGAAGAAATTTTAGAACACCAAGAAGTTTAATTCGAATTTGCTCAAACATCTCCTCCATTCTGCTAGGGGTGTCCTTTTTTTATACATCAAGTTGCATTCATACCCGACGTACTCGTAGACCTTAATCACCATTGTTGTAGGTGACATCTGTACTTGTGTCCACAAGGGTTCGTTGTACTTATGATATACCCATTGTTGTTATCCACAAGTAGCTCATATTTATTTGCAGGGACTCGTATCAACTACGACTTCCTGGAGGTGTTTGTAGAAGAGTCGTTGTTTCTGTATCATATCCACCTTTCACCAATCTCAGGTGGTTTGTTGATTGTGTTTGCTCGTAGAAGCGGGTCCTCCATTATTGGTTTCCAGTATCGCCTTCTTCAATCAACAGGCAACATTGATTGTGTATTGAGGTGTTCAATAATGCATATAGGATACACATATGCATTCTGCAAACATCTGTTGTCCTTGTAGGTGTGGTGCATTTGACCTCGTAGGAACTATTTATAGGAGTTCATTGCATTCATCTTTATACATGTTTGTGATGTATTGCAACTCTTTCACATTCGTTCATGAACATGTGTTGAATGTACGGCGGGCCTCCTACAAAGGATTGAAGGTACTTGCACCTGTTGAATACTAAATTTCCTTGGCTTGCAGAAGATATGTGCATCTATTTTCCGCTGCCTTATAATAGAATGTATAGGCATCTTAACACTTACGCAGGACTTCTTGCATCCTCCTTGTTGTGTGCACAGTGAGTCTTGAAGGTTCCTTTGTTTGACATTGAATTATTGCTTCTTGTGGGTTTGTCACTTGATAGTTCTTGCATTTCAATCATTATGACAGTTCATTGACATTCGTTGGAGATCTT